AATTAACTTCTTCTTTTTTCTTAAAAAGAGACGAATTCAAAGTTATTGATATAGAACGAATTAAGCTAATTAAATTCATTATGGATTTGAGAATTCATTTTCAAGATTATGTCTAAATCATTCAGATTCAGACATCCAATAAATGAAAACAAACAAGGACTAAATAATGATCAAAGGGTCATGTGAGATATTAAACAAAATGACCAGTGGATAATAATTTTCTTAATTATTCTAGATTACTAAGGTTGAGATTAGTTAAGATATTAAGTATGGTGCCATGTATATAATTCATCTACTCTAAACTAAAAACTATTTTTTGTCATTTATTGTTCCAACTTGCCATATGGTGTGCCAAATTCTTCTTAACCAAGATTTTGAATTCAAATATTGAATATATAAAAAAATCAAGATATGAAATAGTTCCCTCTTTGATAGATTTTATATCATATAAATTTAAATTAATTAAATTCCGAGAAAATTAAATTCAGAAGATCACACAAAGAAACTTGATAAATTAAGTCAACTTTGCAATTCAATGAGTTATTTAGCTTGTGTGATGAGAAGAAGTAAATTATGTGGCTTAATCACACGACTTAATGGAAAAGTATTACCCCCTGCCTTTCAATTGTTTCTCTGATTTTGATTCGATATGGAGTTTAAAAAAATAAAAAAGATTGATTGATTTCAAATTACGATATGTTGAATGTAGCAAAATGTCTTTTAGTCTTGTGGTCTTAAACAAGTCACGTAGAAATTACAATTAAAATGTCATCAAAATAAAAAAGTGTTTTTATGTTTTTTTTATAAATGAACTAAAAACTAATGAAAAGTGAAGACAAACAAATTGAAATGAAGTTTAGCCTTTCTCGGTGTGTTTGGTACGGAGAAAAATATTTGTCAATTTTTCCATGTTTGGTTGATTTTTCTAGGAAAACAAACTTCTTAAAAAATAGGAAAATAACTTCCCTAATAAAAGTAAAAAAAAAAACAAGTTACATAAGTGATATTATATATCGTAATTTTTATCGTAATTTCTATTTTTTTTTAAAAAACCTTGCCGACACGTCCTAATATTAATGGGGCCATGATGACAAAAGGTTCAATTAATAATTCAAAAGGATTATTTGACTCATATGCTAAAGAAGTGAATTATTATATTCATATGAGATTCTTGTGATCCATTTCACATCAAAATCCCCACCTCACTAATTGTCGACACCCATAGCTAAAATATCTCCATCCAATTAAACTACTCTTTATGCGGATTCCACACGGGATATTCTTACACTTCTTTATCGTAACAAATATTTTTTCCCCTTAATCTTCGTTTTATATTAGTTGATCATTTTTTAAAATTAATAATTATTTCATATTAGTTGTCTACTTTACTAAATCAAGAAAATATTAATTAATTATTTCCTATATTATCCTTGTAATTAATTCCTTTTAAAAGTGTTCATATTTGTATTGTAAAATTCCCAAAAAGTTTTTTTAAGTGATTAATTAGTAAAATTATCTTCTTATTTATGATAATATGCGTGTAAAAAGGAAAAAGGAGGAAGTAATACATTATTATTATTTTTTGTCTCAAATTATATGATATGATATTTGATACAGAGCTTAAAAAATATGCTTTTTGAAATTTATAATCTAAAATAAGTCATAAATATTTAAAATAATTATAAATTATTTTATTAAATGTAAAATAAATATTTTTAAATTAGTTATTATAAAAGATAAAAATATATCATGTATCTATCACTTTCTCCCGACACCACATATACATGTGCGACTCCGCGACTTGATAATAAATTAATGGTTAATCTACTTAAAATATCATACAAGTTTTTTCTTATATATTGAAAATCGACCTAAAAAAATCTTCTTTTTTAAAGCTTCTTTACTTCCTCTTCCTTTTTCTTTTTCTTTTTTCCTTTTTGTTGTTTTTTGTAAAAGCATGTTTCGAGATTTTATGCATGTAAAAAAAAAAGAGAGATTTTACATGAAATCACTTGTCAAAAAAAGTGTTTTATTTTGACATAAATCCCGTCTGGATTATTTTCTACACCCTAAATATTAAATTCCTTGTTCATTTAAGAAAAAAAAGTATTAAAAAAAAACAAAAGAAAACGCATACGTGTAGAAATCACTACATTAAATAAAGAATTTTTATTTGCGGCAATGCATTAGCGATAATAATATAATTGATATTATATTATATTTAGTGGTAATAATATAATATGAGTATTTAACTATTTATAATCAACAATCTATATAAATATCGTTAGAGACTTTAATAAATTTAAATGCAATGACATATGACACTAACTTAGTTATCATTAAATATTTTTAATAAATATTCACTAAAAAAATTATTGCCATTAAATGTCTCTTTTGTCGCGGTGAAAGGATTATTAGGTAGGTTCCTCTTTTATCTAATTTAGGAAAATGCTATAAAGATATATCACTAAATGACAAGAGACTTGGAGATCGATAGCGAGATACAGTTGGGTCAATTTGGTGTGATGTGATAATTCATGAGTTGTTTTTAGCAAACATTTTCTTCATCGAATCTTACTTCGTGAAATTCTATAAGAAAAAATACACAATCTTGTTAATTTTTGCATGTATGTCTATTTAACAGTTGAAAGTATCATAGAATAGCAAAAGAAAAGTATAATTGAGAAATCTTCTGCTTACCCAAGATTGTTAATTAAGATTAGAAGACTCAATTAAAGAAGAGGAAGCTATGAAAAGAAAAGGATGATATTGGATAGGAGAACTTTGTTGTGGAAGAAGACTCTTTGATTTAGGTTGTTCTTGGGTTACATACAAATAACAATGGTCACCCCTATTCCCTATTTATACTTGTGTAGGGATGCTTCTAGAAATTATTCTAGATACATCTACAAGAAAAATCTCGATATCCTTATCTTCCAACTATCTAACAAGAATCTAGATATTTCTATAATTCACTATAAATATCCACTTCTCTAGAATATCTAAACAATTCTTAGATACATCAAGTACTTAAGGTATATATTACTTTACATATCTCTAGAATGTTCTACTAATTAATAACTAGAATTATTTGTGCCTCCAAAATATCATCTTTAATTTTCACAAGTACAACACGTAGGTCGAAATACATTTTCTCTTTCCATGAACGTTATTCTAAACTTATTAGTTTTTTCATGCCATTTATTGAATTTAGTTTTACTTTTAATTAGAAATTTTGTGTTCAAACTATCAAAATATGCCTAATATTAAAGTGTTTAATTATTTTATTTTTATTTTTTTGGGATAGGGGGGCTAGCTTTGGTTTATCAATATGGATTATGGTGAGATGATTGAGATTCTTCCATCCTTAATTAAAGGTCTCTGGTTGACCTTTAGGTATGAAATAAACCCTATTAAAAGTGTCGCCCCAAAAAATGAGCCTTGAAAATATACAAATTTAAATTAGCCAAATTCCAATATAAATATCAGACATCGAACGAAATTTTTTTTAAAATTTGGATGGGGAGGAGGAGGGGAGGCTAGGGCTTTTCCCTTTAGAATGGCAGTTAGACGGACAAAGACAATAAACCAACAAATTAAAGACTAGCATACAAATAAACTATTCGACGAAAAAGCTTTTGCCGACACTCCTCAAAATAATCATAATGCCGACGCTATCAATACATTAATGAGCCATCTGGCTTGGAGTATAGGATAAAATAATTTTAGGGATAAAATATAAGATTATTTAATTTTGTATTTGGTTGGAGATATTAGACAGTTCTAAAATTGTTTATTTCATCATTTATACTTTAGTATTAAACGATAGGATAAGTTAATCTCATATACATGGTGAAGTAACTTATCTAGAAATAATTAATTTGACATAACTTATTTCCAACCAATCGATCACAATTTCTTTGTATAGTTAAAAGAAATTACTATATATCAAGCATTTCATGTGGGGAGGGGTTGGGGATTAATTAGGTTCAAAATATTCAACATGTCCAAGTGTGATATCCAACTTTTTCTTGTGCTTTTAATAGGATCTTAAATATACAGATAACGTGACATTGTTGAAAGATTAACAAATTCTATAAAAACGAGTTATGGTTCTCTTTTTTTTTTCTTTTAGTAACAGTAATGTTTAATTAACGTTATGACAAAGACTATCTGAAATCTGAATAAAAAAAGTAACTAATAAACTCACAGTTGATCAAAGCGTATAGCAAACGCGTATTGATCTGATAATTTGCGGCCAAACATCTCGTTGTCATCCTCAAAATATCTTGTGATTTTAAAATAAGGAGGTTTGTCTTTCAGTTGAATCTCGATACATTAGTCAGAAAAATTTGAATTTTTTAGGAATTTCAAAAAAATAATTATTTTTTATTTCAAATTATTCACAAAAATTCAAAAATTACTCTAAAATCATTTTCCACTCTGAAACAATACTCACAATTTTATAACCTGGCACACAATTTAAGAAATAAATAATCAAGACTTTTGAAATTTTTAGTTTATAACACTCATTGAATCAATGGTTTTATTCAACAAGTAATAATTGAACAAATAATTTTTTAAAACAGATTAAAGAACTAATGAAACAAACAAATTAAAATGAACAGGCACATCATAATATATACGTAGTTAGAGACGTTAATTACGGGGAAAAAACAAAAGTAAAGTTTTTTCCCCCATAAACAAACAAAATGAATAAAGCAAGTTATACATCATATCAGCTGCGCTGATTTTAACAATAGAATTAAGCTTACTTCAATTATTTTCTCCACTTGGATTGAAAAAATCCACGTAACAAACTTCCATCATAAAAATAAATCATGAATATTGGATAAGAACTTGTACACGTTCATTGGACAAACTAATTAATTAGCCCCCACTTCACCTCCACTTATAAATACCACTTAATATTAACAAGAAAAAAACATCCCAAAGTATATATTTTGTTCTACTAATACTACATTTTTTTCATATAAAATTATCACCAAAAAACATCATGGCTGAAGAGAAGAAACACCACTTTGGTGGTCTCTTCCACCACCACAAGAACGAGGAGGAAGACACCCCCGTTGAGAAAACTACATATGAAGAAACAACCTATGGAGAGAGTGAAAAAACTAGCACCTATGGTGAGAAAACTACCACATTCGGAGATGACAACAAATATGGTGAGAAAACTAGTTATGGTGATGATACATATGGTGAAAAACCTACCTCCTACGGAGGAGATAATACATATGGTGAGAAAACAAGTTATGGTAAGGGAGATGACAACAAGTATGGAGAGAAAACTAGTTATGGTGAGGGAGATGACAACAAGTATGGAGAGAAAACTAGTTATGGAGATAGCGGATACGGAGAGAAACCTAGTTATGGTGGGGAAGATGACAACAAATATGGAGAGAAAACTAGTTATGGAGATAGCGGATACGGAGAGAAACCTAGTTATGGTGGGGGAGATGACAACAAATATGGTGAGAAAACAAGTTATGGTAATGAGGAAGGTGGCTATGGTGGAGGAGTTGGTGAGACTACTAATTTTGAAGAGAATGAAAGTGAGACCAAAACTTCTGAAGATTATAAGGAAGAGAAGAAACACCACAAGCATCTTGAAGAAATTGGGGGACTCGGAGCTGTTGCTGCTGGTGCCTTTGCTTTGGTAAATATTTTTCATACAGACTCTTTAATTCTAACTTTCCACGTAACATGTTTAAGACTACAAGATTAAAGGACATTTTGGTACATCCTGCGTATCTTTAGTTTAAGATAAAACATTCAAATGTCTTCTCTTTACTTTTTGAAATTCCGTGTCAAGTGATTAAAACCAGACAAACAAATTGAAACAAAGGGAGCAACTACGTACGCTGCTCCATTTTTATGATAATTTCTTCTTCCATTAATTATTTTATGGTATGAAAATTTCAGCATGAGAAGCACAAGGCAGAGAAAGACCCAGAGAATGCACACAAGCACAAGATAGAGGAAGGAATAGCAGCAGCTGCTGCAATTGGTGCTGGTGGATTTGCATTCCATGAACATCATGAGAAGAAGGAAGCAAAAGAAGAAGAGGAGGAAGCTGAGGGAAAGAAGAAGCATCATTTCTTCAATTAATTCTCCTATCATAATATATTTACCTCTCTTTGTTGTGTGCTGATCGATCTATCCTTTAATTAATACTCAGCACCTAAATAATTTGTATGTGTGTTACAGTACTCTTGTGTTTGATGTAAGCGTTACTTGGTCAATTTGGCGTTTTAAGTCACCTACATGTTGTAGTACTTTGCATGAGTGTGAATAATACTATTACGTATATTGTTTTTCTTAAAATTATTTCAATTAGCATACTAGTTGACTCTCAAGTATATGTCCGTTCGGTACAAAAGGAAAATATTAGATTTTTTTCTTTGTGTTCTATATTTAAGCGAAAATATTATCTTAAAAAAATTTGTATATATTTAATCTAAATAAATATTATGAAAGGTTGTGGTGGGGAATGGGGATAGGGATGGGCGCTACAGCCTACATGGGGTAGGGATGACGTGTGTTGGAGGGTAGAGAGGGTACGATCAATATGGAATGTCACTAGTAAAACTTGTTTTCCTATTCCAATGCGAAATCATTTTCCTCATTTTCAAAAATCTTAACCAATGAAATAAATATGAAAAAATTAGAAGAAAATGTTTTCCTCCCTACCTAACACTCTCAGTTTCTCAGTCAACAGAATATAAGACCAAGAAAAAGGGGAAGAGATTTAAAAGAAGAAATGTTTTCCTCTCTACCTAACACTCTCAGTGTCTCAGTCAACAGAATATAAGACCAAGAAAAAGGGCAAGAGATTTAAAAGAAGAAATTGTTGGACCTGAAAGCAAGAGTGGCAAATATGAAATATATCTATAATTACTAAAATATAATTAGTAGATTGAAGGTAGATTCAAAAAAATTAATCAATTTTTACTAATATTTGAATAGCTTATTAATGAAATTATGAAAACCTATTGTTTGAAATGAAGTATGCGAGTTTAACTATTAAATGAACAGAATTATCAAAAGACAAAGGATTTTGTTATATAATCAAAATATAAGCAATTACGGGAATTTTCTCCATCATTAATTAAATATTCCGAGTTTGAGTCTTAAACATAAAATATATATAATAAAATCTCACTAAATTAATATGGGTGGGATCATAAAATATTATTAATTTATAGAGGTATCATTTAATCGATAAATTAATATTTATTAACTTCAAAGAGTGTTTCGATATCGCAAAATTCGTTCGGGATGAAATCTCAAAGATTTTAAATGAACCCACTTGTGAAAAAATCATTCATGAACTTGATGTCATGATTAATAATCTCAGCTATAGCAATAAAATGGATGTTAATAACTCGTTGGATGGGTGAAAATGATACATGTTTAGGGGTTCAAAATTTAGAAAAAATTGTGGATACTATTGAAAAAAAAATGTTGATGATAAAGTTGAAGATGATGCAATACATTCGGAATTAACCAATTACGCGTAAGGAAGCACTTATCACATTTACAACTCTTCATAATTTTATGGTGCAGTTTGAAAAGACAGCACCAAAACCTTTTGATGCAATTAGAAAAGTTAGAGATGAGTTTCAACTAAATTTAAATTTTAACAAAAAACAGACCACAATAGAATCATATTTCACTAAATTTTCTTAGATATATTTGTACTTTTAAGGAATTATTAATTTATCATATTAATGAGACCATATATTTATATAGGGGTCTTCTGAAAATATATTATTTTATCGAAATGAGTGCTTTTTTTCATTGGCTCAAGTTGGGACCGGAAAAAAATATTATCTTAGAGAAGTTATTAATTAACTAAGTATTAATTTAGTGAGTTTAATATATATATATATATATATATAGTGGAGAACCTTCCCTCGGTAAGGGAATCAATATGAATTAGTTGGAACTTCAAAATTGATATCAAATATTGTGTGGAAAATTAATCCAACAAGTACTCTCTTGATTTGGGCAAGAAATGAATAATATCCAAATCTTTGTGGTTGTGAAATTTCCATGGCTTTCCAAATAGTGAATTTGAATATAATGTACATGAAAACTAAGTCATATCAATTAATGTAAAGTGGAAAATTGTGTGTGCCACCAGTGATGGAGATTGAAATTAATCCCAAGTGCCCCATATTAAAAATCTACTTTAACATTATTGCACTACTGACCACCACATATCTTTTACTTGAAAGAAATCTTGATAATTGTCATGAGTTGTCCATTTATCGCAATATATGGTTCTAGTACAACTAATTAGATGGTTCTAGTGCAAGTGTACAATTATAGTTTATAAATGATCTTAGAAATTATTAATTTATAATTACGAGTTTATATATTATTACTTACAACTTGAACCTCTTCTTTGTTCTCTTAGTTAAGGATTTTTTTTTTTTACTTTTTTGTTATTATAGTACTGTTTGAATTTGAAGCTCGATGGGTGGATTTTACAGTCAAGCTCCCTTCTATCACTGCATTCAATTTTCCGTCCAGCCCCGATACAAGTTTTATGATAGCATCCAACTTTCAATTTGATATGATTTATCATTCATGAACGTTCATAAAATCCATCTATTTAGCAACATGTTTATTGATAGCGCCTTGACACTGCAAGCAACACAACATGTAGCAAGAAATCCAATTTAAAGAAAGAACCAAATATAAATTTGATGTCAATTGTTGATTTGTTAATTTTAAACCTTTTAAAAGCCTTAATATTTTAATTTCCTGCCTTCTTAGTATCAATATAATTAGCTACTAATAATTTTACAAAAAATTTACCCAGAAACAAGCATGGTAAGACAAGCATGGTTGTCGTCAGCTCATATCATAAGGTGTTGGATTAAGTCCCACAAAGAGCACAACTCAGCTATTGCCTCACTAACTAGCTAATCAGACGCGAGCCCCTCCTTCAACGGATTACTCCTTCAGAAAAAATATGCGATATTTTATTTTGTAGCTTTGTTCTTTTCATGTAAATTGATCAATTAGCTTAGTTAGTTAAGAGTTAGTTAGGTGGTTGAGATGTTTTTCTTAATGAGTACACGTGTTTTACACAATTGTGTTGAAGGTATTTAAGCTGATATATAACAATGACACTTTACATTGTGTGTGACTTGTGTGTCTTTTATCTCCTATTTCTTTTGGGATTCTTATATCAAAATCATCAAAATAATAATCAATAAATAAGAAAATAATATATATATATATATATATATCTTTTGTATATTAATTAACGATTGTAATTATTTTTGACAAATGGTCAAATTTTAACAATTCCTTTTTTTGTAGTTTTTCTATTAGTTCCGTGTGTGCAAAAATTTGAGTCTGCCGACAGGCAACTTAGTCGATGAGGCAAATTGATAAATCAAAGTCAAGATCAAGTCATGTGTTTGATTATGATTAATTTTACACATTTGTCACCATTAATCATTCAACACCTATAGTTTGTTCTTCTCATTTTAGACGGTAAATAGAGATAAAGATTTTTAAAATTAATTATTGGCACTTTAAACATCATTATATCGAAATCGTGATCTTGATGATTGTGACCCAGATATCGAGTTAATTGTATGAGTGACAGTTTTGTTAATTGTACACCTAAGTATATCAACATATATAGAAGAGTAAATAAGCAATATTAATTAGTATATATATCTTTTGTTCTAAATATAATTGATTGTTTTGACAAAATGAAATTATTATTATTTTTAAAAAAAATATGAAGTCAATTTTTTTTTCATGTCTAATCATATAGCTCCAATTAGTGTATTAATTGGGCGAGACATTTAAGGAAAGAGATTAAAAAATGATTTCTTAAATAAGTATTCTTTTTTATGTATCAACAATGTATCGTTCTTAAAGAGTATACAAAATCTTTATAATGATAGATAATATACTCTTCTCGTTCTTTAATCAAGTGTTTATTTTTAGGGAAAATTGTATATAATAGCAAACTATTAATTCAAATTAAATGATATAAACATAGTTTGATTTAATTGTACTCCATAGCAAACTGTTGCTATTTCGCCTCTCTCCTAGTGAATCTCACTTGCCACTCTCGTTCTCTCCCTCGCCTCTCTCGCTTTTATACAAACGCAAATGTATAAAATGTGTTTGTGTTTGTATAAAGCGAGAGAAAATTGTATATATACATATATTTTCGTTCCCCTCTCCCAAATCTCGCTCGCCACTCTCCCAGATCTCGCTCGCCAGTCTCTCCCTCGCCTCTCCCGCTTATACAAACAGAAATATATAAATTGTGTTTCTATTTGTATAAAGCGAGAGAAAATTGTATATACACATGCAATACATATATCTTCATCCTATACACTTATAATTATACAATACAAATATTCCTGCCCAGTTCTCTTTTGCCTTTCTCTCTTTCTCGCTTTATACAAACACGGATTATACAATTGATCTTTTGTATATGTATACCGAAACAGAAACAGATTATATACAACTACTTTCTTTTGTATATGTATAGCGAAATATACATATTTATGTTTGCTATGGAGCGCAATTATGCAAACTATAGCTATAGCATACATATATGATTTTTGTGTCTGCTATATGTGAAAGTTGTTCTTTCTAAAAATACAATTTATTCTTATAACTTGAGCTAAAGCGGATAATTATTTTTAATAAACGGGACACGTAAACGAAAGGGAGAAAGCATTATGTATGATGAACTATGAAGAACCAAATACTAGCTAGTCACCATGCACGTCCAAATTAAAGCTGTCAAAATCAAAGTTCTTTTTAAGTGAAGTTTAATTTTTCTTCCTACTAGAATATGCTTGAGCTTAAAATATGTGTAATCAAATGCACTATTGCAAAGTGCCTTCTTCCAATTGGCAATATGGCATTAAATGGAACTAGCTAGCTAAGGGTCCTTTCAACATCAATAGGTATTAAGAAGATGAACCACTTTGCCACCTACTTTGTTTCAATTTTTCTACACCTAATTTCTGTGGTAAAGGAGGGGGCCCCTTGTCAAGCAAATTGATAACCACTTACCTGCGCTACAAGACATTTAGTGGCAATAATTTTTCGCAAATATATTTAGCGTTATCGATATTTATATAGAATGTTGATTATAAATTATTCTCAAAGTTTGTGATCAAACAATCTAACATGGAGAATGGACCTACATGGGTTTGATTGTAGTGTAATAATTGTGAATTGTGATCACTCCATGGAGAAAGGACCAACATCAAATTCAAACCTATGAGAATGAAAAAAATTGTTGAGACTTGAGAGTGTCGCCTCTAAAA